CAAATAGAGCTTCTTCAGTCAGCTGTGACTGAAGAAGCTCTATTTGAGAGTGAAACGCGTATTGGCCATTTTTAAAGGACTTTTATTTGAGGACTTTTATCATCTTTGTTTTTATGTTTATTTTAAACTAATAAATTCACCATTTTTATTCAATACCTCATCCAAGTTCCTTTTGGAGCCTCCAAGGAATCCTCACAGGGGTAGTGCCATCCCCATTCAAACTGGCACAAAATCCACATACCTAGAGCTGGGATTCGTAGGCTCAGGACCAGGTGAGCACCCCATTTATTGAACACATATCTGTGCCATCTATCACCATAAGTCTACACATTGGTTTGCTTTCTTCTCTTTTTTTCGTGTTCCTGAGAAATTCTTCAAGCCGAAGTAGGAGGGTGGTGCTACCATAACAGCACACAAGCCTTTATACGGAGCCAGTGTTTTCTATATACAGGCTCCTTGAAATTGAGCACTATATTGTGTTTTTTATTCTTTCTCACATACGGAGGAACTATCTTCACCTATATCCTACCAGTGGGGGACCAACGCCACTGAATGCCAATCACACTAGAGCAAGTTTGTGCTCTGAAATAGGTGAGTGTATTACCTCCCTATTATTCTCCTATACTCTCAGTTATCTACAGACCATCTACACTATTGGATTTTTTTTGTGTTCTCTTTCATGGTTTCCACTGAATCAAGACTCCATCTACTTTAGAAGATCCTGTCTTTTCACTCCTGTACCACTAACAGTAAGAGATGGACACCAAGTACTGAAATTTTCATCTATCCACTGGAACTTACTATAAGCACATCTAATATTTGGACTATTTATTATACTTATTAAATATTTTATATTTAATTGTTATAGCGCGACCTATATTTCTTCTGTTTTTTTATATATATATATATATATTTACCCTTTTTTCTCAAAAAATATGTGGCTTTTTACTACAGACAGTTTCATCCTTGCATGCGGGAATTGTGGCGATATCTAATTTTGGATATAAACGAAGAACTGAATAAAAGCCTGCCAGAACTGGACAGCTAGACGTGTAAATCAAAACAGCTTTGTCACCTCTAGACACTTTAAAAATTTCCTGAAGATAAAAATAAAATGCTCATATTGACTGTGTATGATTTTCATTGAAATTTCAAGGGAATCAAAAGATATAAGACAAAGTCTATTGTACAACTAACTACAGCTTCACCCACTGACCGCTGCACACAAAGAGGACATGTCATCTATGGGGCTTTGCAAAAGAAGATGATTTATACTTTGGTTAGAATATATAATACTGTAATAATAGGAAATTAATTTTTTAACTTAAGAAAAGGTCCAGCACTGGTCTTATACTTTAATGGACTTCAAATCGTGGATTGTAAGGTTGTAATTACTGCCGGACTAGAGGTTTCTGTCACTGGGAATGTACACATAACAACATATAAAATAAACCATAAATAAAATGAGATACAAATTACAGCCTCCGTGATAACACGGTCATGTAGTCTGTATCATTTAAAAAGACATCCAGGGTTATTCACTAAGATGAGAATTCAAAGTGAATTTGAAACGTACAGTCAAAATAGTTCATCTAAAGTCAGCTGTGCTTTCAGTTTGACTAATCTGACCTGAAAGCGGTAATGTCAACATCGGGGACTTTGCACAATTTGTTCTGATGGTGACAATACCGCTGGTGGCCAGAGAAGGCAGGCAATGGTGAATTTAACTTGTCCTGTCCCTCATGGGCGCTGCCATCCTTTTCTGAGCAGTCTTCTTCAGAAGCGCTAGGAGCGGACATCACTGATGGACTCTTGCGCATGTATGAGAGTACAGCATTGAAAACTATGGATAATCTAGCTCTCCATAGATAGACCAGTTCACTGCAGCTGTCACTGGTGATGGTGGGGGGGTTGACACTTCTTCACAGCGGTAGCTATGCCCAGTGTCCAGAAGTGTCAGGCACAGAAAAAATACGGAGAGAAATTTGTCCCAACTTTGTCTCAGTATATCTTTTTACAGGGAAATTCCAACACAGTCATTATGAGTATTTCAAAAAGATTTTATGTTTATGAATTACTCATTTTCCAGAGGAAGGTGGGTGTGCATCGCCCCTTTAAAATTGAAATTCACTTTGAATTCTGACTTTAGTGAATAGTCCGGATATAGTACAATCCCACTGACATTTCACCTGTTTGGATCTGTGAAGACCAGCTTCGGAGGAAAAAGGTTAATGCCTTATATGAACAGTTTTAATATAAAACACCTAACATTTTCAGAAACTGAAATATAAAATTTCTTGCAAAATTATCCAGACCTATTGCCAGTCCTCTGATATTCATGAATTATTACTTAAACACTAAAATTAAAATTTCTACAATATTCTAATGTACACATTCAAAATCAGTTGATGCACTGTGAGATCAGATTTATTATAAATTATATCTTTAAGAAAAATATAAACAAAAATGTAATATTTTGCACGGATTAATACAGAAGCCATGTGGAACCTCCAGTTTACACAGACACAATTTTCCCTAACAAGTACAAGCATATTTGTGTATGGCTTATGACTGCCTTGCAGCATGCTGCTCTTGCGCACACGGAAACAATCCAGGCCCATTCAGAATCTTGTAATGGATGATTCCACCTGCAGTAGACCCAAGAAAGGTCACACCATGGTGATCTTCGGTTTTCCGGTACCCCTGTGTTTAAAAACTCATTGCGGAATATTTTCCTTCAGACATCTCTGTTCCCATATTCTACCTACCCTTCCTTTTTTGGACAACACACTCCTGGCTTTCTGTACAGATTGTGAAACTTTGCTGCCAAAACACACTTCAACTAATATTTATCTTAACATCTGTCAGAGTTATTCACTAAGGCATTGAAGCATTCAACGTGAAATTCAAATTGAAGTCTAAAATAGTAAAACTGGAACTATAGCTGACTTAAAGAAGTTTTCCAGTTTGTTTGTTTTGGCCATACTTTGGAAATTCACTTTGAATTATCACTTTTGTGAATAACCCCCTTTGCTTTATGACTTTGGTTTCAGACAGGACCACCATGCATGTATACGGGGCCCTGTGATTGCTGCAGAGAGCCTACCACTATTAGGAGATGCAAGAGCACCCAGCCGCTCCTCACACAGCCACAGATTTGGAAGGAGGGATGATCACCAGCATAGGTGCCCAGTCCCTTTTAATATGTATCTGCAAAGGAGATGGTCTTTACTTGTCTGGCCACGGAGGTCAGCTCCTTCACACTGAAATGTATGATGAAGCTACTGAGGGAGAGACATGTGAAATTAAATTTTAAGCCCCTGCCACAGGAAGGCTTTCTCATGCATCAAACCGCATGGGAGCTGCACTATTCAGGAGTGAGTTGCCCTGTTCTTGAGGTGAACAAGAACGTGATTCTGGAGATGAAGTTTGGAGGAGAGATGATGATGAAGCTATGGGGAAAAAGGGAAATGGAGCTTGGAGGTGATAGGGGGGTGAGAATGAGCTGTTAGGCGAGGGGGAGATTAAGCTGGGAAGAGATAGATAAATGGGGAGTAGAGAGGGGGAGATGAAGCTGCAGAGTTGAGGCTGTTATGGTTCCTAATGTGAGTTGTGCAAAAGCTTCATAGCAATACAACTCACAGTAATGTGAAGTGTATTAATACACTGCTCAAAAAAAAATAAAGGGAACACTTAAACAACACAATGTAACTCCAAGTCAATCACACTTCTGTGAAATCAAACTGTACACTTAGGAAGCAACACTGAATGACAATCAATTTCACATGCTGTTGTGCAAATGGGATAGACAACAGGTGGAAATTATAGGCAATTAGCAAGACACCCCCAATAAAGGAGTGGTTCTGCAGGTGGTGACCACAGACCACTTCTCAGTTCCTATTCTTCCTGGCTGATGTTTTGGTCACTTTTGAATGCTGGCGGTGCTTTCACTCTAGTGGTAGCATGAGACGGAGTCTACAACCCACACAAGTGGCTCAGGTAGTGTAGCTCATCCAGGATGGCACATCAATGCGAGCTGTGGCAAGAAGGTTTGCTGTGTCTGTCAGCATAGTGTCCAGAGCATGGAGGCGCTACCAGGAGACAGGCCAGTACATCAGGAGACGTGGAGGAGGCCGTAGGAGGGCAACAAACCAGCAGAAGGACTGCTACCTCCGCCTTTGTGCAAGGAGGAACAGGAGGAGCACAGCCAGAGCCCTGCAAAATGACCTCCAACAGGCCACAAATGTGCATGTGTCTGCTCAAATGGTCAGAAACAGACCCCATGAGGGTGGTATGAGGGCCCGACGTCCACAGGTGGGGGTTGTGCTTACAGCCCAACACCGTGCAGGACGTTTGGCATTTGCTAGAGAACACCAAGATTGGCAAATTCACCACTGGCGCCCTGTGCTCTTCACAGATGAAAGCAGGTTCACACTGAGCACATGTGACAGATGTGACAGAGTCTGGAGACGCTGTGGAGAACATTCTGCTGCCTGCAACATCCTCCAGCATGACCGGTTTGGCAGTGGGTCAGTAATTGCGTGGGGTGGCATTTCTTTGGGGGGGACGCACAGCCCTCCATGTGCTCGCCAGAGGTAGCCTGACTGCCATTAGGTACCGAGATGAGATTCTCACACCTGTTGTGAGACCATATGCTGGTGCGGTTGGCCCTGGGTTCCTCCTAATGCAAGACAATGCTAGACCTCATGTGGCTGGAGTGTCTCAGCAGTTCCTGCAAGACGAAGGCATTGATGCTATGGACTGGCCCGCCCATTCCCCAGACCTAAATCCAATTGAGCACATCTGGGACATCATGTCTCGCTCCATCCACCAACGTCACGTTGCACCACAGACTGTCCAGGAGTTGGCAGATGCTTTAGTCCAGGTCTGGGAGGAGATCCCTCAGGAGACCATCCGCCACCTCATCAGGAGCATGCACAGGCATTGTAGGGAGGTCCTACAGGCACGTGGAGGCCACACACACTACTGAGCCTCATTTTGACTTGTTTTAAGGACATTACATCAAAGTTGGATCAGCCTGTAGTTTGTTTTTCCACTTTTAATTTTGAGTGTGACTCCAAATCCAGACCTCCATGGGTTGAAAAATTTTATTTCCATTTTTTAATTTTTGTGTGATTTTGTTGTCAGCACATTCAACTATGTAAAGAACCAAGTATTTCAGAAGAATATTTAATTCATTCAGATCTAGGATGTGTTATTTTTGTGTTCCCAGAAATAAAACACTAAATATTGGACAGTATAAGAAAACTCCCTAGCAATAAATCGAACTGCAACACACAGTATATATGCGTGTATCACAGAGCTCCACAGCAATAAAACTCATAGTAATGTGCAGTAAAATGAGTGTATCATGGAGACAGACAGCAGTAAAACACACTGTGCACTGTGTATGAATGTAAATGTATCACACAAGTGTTTGAACAATATATCATTTATCTGCAATACGGTCAGAAATGTTTCAGCAGTCCCCTCCCCACTTTTCATAGAAATTAATTAACTGCTCTCTCAAAGGTTAATGCACAGGATTGAGAAAACTCAATTGTGACAGTGGTTTTTTATCATTTCTCTTAATTGGTAGCACCTTGATAAAATTATCGCATCACAAACATGGACTTTTCACCAATTTTAAAAACAGCAATGTGCTGTCTGATTATTCACTTTCCTTTTCCATTGCTTTAATCTGATGACATCTGATTTCTAAAAGCACTCCTGAGCCTGGGTCTTGGATCCACCTTTGTCCTCACAAGACGTCATTGCTCAGAGAAAGCTACTTGTGTATGAAGGTGAGAGAGGGGAACAGTCTGCAAACCCAGTGCCAGCCCAGGGAGGCTGCTGGTAAGAGAAAGATGCAATGGGATTATAAAGAGAGAGAGAGACAGAGAGAGAAAAGGACAAAATGTAATGGAAAAATTCAAGTGTTACTTAATTTAGTGGATCTCAGAGTATTAAACAGATATACGCATGCATATTCTATTAATATTTACATGTGTATATTACTATAATTGTGTATATCAAGTACTAATTGTATAATATATAGACAAATAATATATCACACTTGCATTAATATACATTCTACTGTCCCTATACATTCACTATATCTCCTCTACTCACACTCAATACATCCCAGCAGCCGCGAGAGGAACGGCACTGACAGCAGCTTTAAGTGCTTGCGAGATGGTGATGGTATTGGGCCCTGGGGGCGATCTTGGGGCCAGCCATGTGGGCATAAATGGGGGCTTGCCCTAAGGATTCAAACTTCAAGCTTTGTATGGGGCCTCAACATTTCTAATGGCAGCCCTGACATCAGACACCAAACCCCTGCGTTACAATTCAAGTTCCTGGAAACCTGTACTCATCTCGGGCTTTCTTGAAAATGCTGATTTACAAGGTATTCTACTCTCTGCATCAGAGTTCAAGTTCAACCTCAGTATTTTACCAATCCTTACACAGTGTAAGTAAAATGAATTTCCTTAAAGTTTGCAAATTTGCAAAGACAGGGACATCACCGCTGGGTATCTGCTGGGTGTCCAGGAAATTTGAGATTTTCTTACATGGACCTGTAACCAGGCACCGCCATCTTGACCTGCCACAACCACTTCAGCTCCTGGTGCAGTACAGCATTAAGGTCTATGTAGAATCCTGCAATTCCCCATAGACAGAGCTTTTTTTCCCCTATAGCCATTGGGGGAAATTACAAGGTAACCTCCGTTTGTAAAGAGTATGAAAGATATTGAGTGAATGTAGTCCTTACTTTGTCTTAGTATATGTTTTGACTGGGTCAGAATTTCAGTGAAATCCCAACGCAGTCAATGTGAGTATTTCATAGAGATTTTATCATTTTGGGGGGGGGAGGCAAAGTTGATGTAACATTATGGACTTCGCTAGAGATTACCTTTTACATTAAACAAATTAGAAATGGCACCGTTCCTATGGTTCACTAAACTGATCATTGCACTCACTGATATATTTGGTAATTACAACAACCCTGTTAAATGGAAGTAAAATAATGACACAATCGTTCAGTGGGTCATTAAGACATTTTCATTCCAGTTTGATTTGCATTGCAAGATAAATTAAGTGGTTGTTGAGAAATTCTGTTTATTGATTAAATGAACAAGAGCTTGAGTAAATCTTGAAATTACCACATTTGCATGTAATTTCTGCTAAGATAAAAAAAAACATAAATCTAGTTTAAATAACAAGAATGAGACACAGGAATCCAACGTACGTCTATCCATGATAGGAAGTGAGATGGTTAATTGCAAATTGTAGAATGCATGGTCTGCAATCAGAGTACAATCAATATACACAATGATTTATTTCCGGGTAATTCATATACCCTTACTGCAATGCTACATCATACTGCATATTATTTATGTAACTCGTGTTAGCATTAGAAAGTCTTTCCCTGAAAAGATTGCAAGCAGAAGGCGGTGTCTAAAAACCTTCTTAGTTCTACAAGGTGAGTATTCTTATTTCCAGTTGCAGGAGCCGCTGCTGGGTCTCGACCAACATACCTGGATAAAAAAACAGAAACGCAAAATCGAAATATACATATTGGTAAATAAATGATTTCTTAGAGATTAATCACCTATAGATCATGCAATGTATCATCACAATAAGGGCCGGACTGGGAAGAAAATTCGGCCCGGGCATTTTTTTTGTTACAGCGTCCCACTAAGAAGGGGGCGGGGCCAGATAGGGTGTGTTTTGTCATCCCCAATGACAAGCATCACAAAGTGAGCATTTTGGTTCAATGCTCTTCCAGGGCAGACCATGCGCAGAGCTCTGCTAAAGAGCTCTAGCATGAGAAAAAGACTCTGTATTTGTTCTGCACAGCGCAAGCAAATTTAATAGCATGCTTGCACTGTGTTTGCTTGAAATGTGTCTCTGGTGTCTCCATAGATGGGATACCAGGAGGCAAAAATGCCAGGAAAAAGTATTGTGCAGTGTGTGTATGAGGGTGAGGTGAGTGTGAGAGTGATGGGTGCTGTGTTTGCGTGAGGATACTATGTGGGTAAGGATGCTGTGTGTGTGAGGGATGCAGTGTGTGCTTTGTGTGAGTGGTGGGTGCTGTGTTTGCGTGAGGGTGCTATGTGCATGTGAGGAAGCTGTGTGTGCACGTGTAGTGTGTGTGAGTGAGGGTGCTGTGAATGTCAGGGGTGCAGTGTGTGTTTGTAAGGGTGCGGTGAGTGTCAGGGGTGCAGTGTGTGTGTGTGTGTGAGAGTAAGGGTGCTTTGAGTGTCAGGGGTGAAGTGTATGTGTGAGTGTCAGTGGTGCAGGGTGTGTGTGAGTGAGGGTGCTGTAAGTGATTATATCCCTCCTCCCTTCCTACCTTCAGCCTGGGAGGGAGGGGGGATCGTGCTGCTGCCATCCCTGGTGGTCCTAGTGGTGAGTGAACTCTAGCCTGTGGCAACGCTCTGAATCTCGCAAGAGGAACCCGGCGGACTGCAAGTTAGAGCTCCTCCGGGTTCCTCTCTCTCTCCCCCACTGACGGCCGCAATATACTTCATGTGGGCTGGTGAGGGAGATCTTTGATCTTCCCACCGGCTTGTCATGGAATGCAGCAGGGCCGGCGCTCGGATAGTGTTGGCCCTGCATAGACAAGCAGGGGAGATCCTGTGATCTCCCCTGCCGGCCTCGGCCCATGGCCACCGTGGCCCACCGGGCATTTGCTTGGTGTGCCCGATGGCCAGTCCAGGCCTGATCATAATTAAAGAATAGGGGGCAGAATAAAATCCTTCTCTCCAACATACAGAATGTGGTATTCCCATGCTGTGTATGTATATTACAAAGCATAGGATGTATTTAAAAGCTCGAAACATAAATTGGAATTGCAACTTTGATGGCAAAATAAATTTAACATGTCATGATGTTTTTTTCTAGGCAATATGTTTAAATATTCAATATGTTCACTTATATAATTGTTTACCAGATAGGCCTTGAATGCTTTACAATGGTGAGAAAGCGAGGTTTTATATAGTCGTAATATCCCATATTTTTATGTTCCTCTTGACACCAGATCAATTCTGCTTTGGAATACTTCTCAATCTCAGCCTTAACCAGATCGAAAGGAAATGGAGATATCTGTAAGGAAAAGTACATGTGCCAAATTAATGTCATGTCCACCGTAGGAAAAAAAACATCAACTGAGGCCTCCCCCCATAAAAGCCAAAGGCATCAAGCATGATTTATCAATTCATATTTAGAAAACCAGTTTACTATGCCAAGAAAACGTAATTCCACCAAAAGACAAAAAGGTAAAATTCCGATAAACGAAATGTCAAGTCAAATGTGGGCCCATAATAACCAAACTGGAAGTATAGCCGACTTGTTGGAGGGAAACACACAACCAGAAGAAACACCGTTCAGTACAAATTGAAAATAATGTTGAAACGGTAATGACTATCCATTAAAAGGGGAAGGTTAATTGCAGTATTGAAAAATCATACTTGAAAATGAAGTATCTGACAGTATCTGGTGTAGGTGAGCAGATGAGTTGGGTTCTGAAAATGAGCACTGCTGAAATTAATGAATTCCACATTAATAGTACTGTAAAATAAACTGATCTAGTTATATCTGGTAAATACCAAACAGAAGAACAACAAAAAAGACATTTCTAATGTTAATGTTTATTGTAGTACAAAATACTTAACTGATACTAGACATTAAATGACGTACAGCACCTACATTTCTTCATTCAGGCTGTTGTGTTTAGTGGAAAGAGATAAGTTTTAGTATTCTACCCGTATTTGCCAAAACTCCCAGACTCTCGATTTATGTATCCCTGTTCTCCTGCCCCATGTTCTTCTGAGGACACCAGAAAAAGTGTAGGGAAGACCGATTTAGTCTTTCTCGCACTGGATTGAGCAAGAATTCCAGGACATTTGAACCCAGAGCTAGACACTGCAATTGCCAACCCTGCTTAGCTGCCCTCTGGGTCATTCTGGTATGTATACACTGCAGAGTGAGGTCATATTTACAGATGGAAATAGAGCTACTGGTCATTGGCATTCCCCTACACCAGCCCTACCCGCCTCTCATTCTTTGCCAGAGCTGGCAAGAATGCTTTACTGTTCTAATCAATTTGATATTTATATTAGCAATTTAATCAATACACCACAATGTGCTAAATGGCATTCCGAATCACATATTTTGTAAAGAGAATTAACAGACGTAGACGCATTTAAAGTTGTTGATTTCTTCGATCACGTATAAGCAGATTAATTCAGAAGTACTTTACCTGCTCTAGTCTGGTAATAGCTACGTGATTGTCCAAATCTTTACTGTGTCTCTCTTTGATGAGCTCATAATAGACTTTCCCGGTGCAGAAAATTACACGTTTAACCTCCTGGGGATTCTGAGAAGCAGGTCCATTTTCAGGAATCATGCGTCGAAAGTTTGTACCTTGAGGTTACAGAAATTGTATTATTTCCACTAGGTCTATTCGTTAAAGTTTCTAAAAAAAAAAGACACCGTTACAAAAAAAAAAAAGACGAAAAATACGTAACCCCTGACTAATAAGAGCTAAGTAGCAAAGAACAGCTCCCCCTGGAAAATACCCGGTTATGGGTGGATGGATTGGCAGATATAGAAACTAAGAGTACCACTTTATTATAACGTAATATGTTAATATGAAATAAAATTGAAAAAAATGAACAAAAACCCTTTCAATGAGATAGATAGATAGAGAGAGAGAGAGAGAGAGATCCCTTTAATATTTAGATATTTAGATTTTTTTTATGTGTGCGCATTATTTGAATTACTTTGCAAAATAGTTCTTTAGTATTGCTTTGAAATGACCACTGCAGTATTTAGCATCTTTGGGAGCTTTGCATGTTTTGCAAATCCAACGCAGGTAAAGAAGAAGTAAACGCACAGCAAGACATTGATTTGAATATATTATACCATTCTCACACTCGCCCTGTCAACACAGGGACATGTTATACTTTTACTGACAATGAGTCCGTTTCTATCTTCTCCAGGCTTGTGGACAGGGTAAGATAAAGAAAAACAAAGCATACCATAAAATATAACAATTTACTTATTACATTTTCAATTGTAATAAATTCAAATAACACATAGTATTTAATGAAAATGAATTGTAATGTAAACACACCTGTTTTCATGTCGTCAAAACTAGATTTGGCCTCTGGATGCCTCAACAATGATTTTGGAGTAAATATGATTAGCTACAAAAAAATGCCAAAACAAACAGAATTAGGATGCAAATTAGAACACGATTAATAGCGCGTTCCTCATTTTGTTGTGTTGATTGCACTTACTGGTTTGCGGAACGGCAATAGAATTTGTCTACGAAGAACATGGAAGTAACTTGCTGGAGTGGAGCAGTTTACCACGATCCAATTGCATTCATAAAGCTGGCACACCTCGTAATCCTGGGTGAATTCCTGAGGGTAAAATGCAGGCTCTCCATTAATGCAAGCAAACCTATCATTACTTTGCAGAAAACTCCATGAAGCAACTAGATTCAGCAGAGCTGCCGTATGAAATCATGCGGTCCAGAACAAATATTGGCAAATAAGAATGTGAATCATGGTATGCCATGACTAACAATCTGCTTCTATAATTTTGGCATAATATGGGATCACTGACTATAAACTCTATTTAGGTGTCCAGATCCCCCTTAAATAGAGTAACGTACCTTCATACCAGCGCTATGCATGTCTGCCGGCGCTAGCCCCTGCTCCACCTCCTTGGCTGAGATTATCAGAATTGACAATCTCAGCCTTCCAATAGGAAAGCACTTTGAGGCTAATGTGCATGCACGGCAAAATGTCATTCTGCATCAATTATTATTATTTTATCATTTATATAGGGCCAGCAAAATTCTGTAGCGCTGTACAATGGGTGGACTAACAGACATGTAACTGTAACCAGGCAAATGGACGCACAGGAACAGAGGGGTTGAGGGCCGTGCTCAATGAGTTTACATTCTAGAGGGAGTGGGGTATAGTGTCACAAAGGGTATAAGTAGGGGTAATGAAATAAGTTGCTAGAAAAGTATTCACTGGGAACTTAGTAGGTTATTTTTGACAGTTGCAGGAGAGAAGTCATGGGGGGGTGGGCATGAAAATCCACTAAGAGTTTAAATGATATGCTTTCCTGAATTAGTGTGTCTTCAAAGATTTTTTGAAGGAGTAGAGACTGGGTGAAAGTCTAACGCAGAAGGGAAGGGAGTTCCACAGAAAATCAGCATCTATTCATAGAGATGCATTTAATCAATGCATCTTGATGGTAAAAGTTCTGCTCCTCCATGCAGAGCGTGGAGACGCTAAACGTCACTGACCCAGGAAGCACCTCTAGTGGCCGTCTGAGTGACTATATTATGGGCCTTAAAGTGTAAGCAATTTCAGCTTTATTAAAGATTAGATAGCAATTCTAAACTACGCTACCCATAATTCAGTGCAGTATGTCTATAACCAAAAAACAGCCATTTCAAAGACAGTTTAATCAATTACACCCAAATTAAATCAAAATGAAGTAAAATCACAGAAGGTCCTGCTTTTTGGCTGTGCACTGTGATTGGTCATTAATGGTTTTCATGGTTATAGGGTATATTTTCATCAGACTATAATTTGGTAATAATGGTAATGTATATGTAACGTACAAAATATAAAAATAAAAAAAAGAATTTTATCAGTGTTATCAGAAAGAATGGCCTCAATGTGCGTATTACTTCTTTACTTAGATTTTTCTTACTAAGAACATGTTCAAGCTGGCCTTAATACATAGCCTTGATTTCATTATCTACTTCCCAAAAGCCAAAGATAAAAATAATTAGCTAGTGTCAGTTCACTAGTCCAATAGGTAGATAAAAAATAAAATTCCTCCACATTTATAGTCAGAGAATGAGTACGAGAAGAAGAAGGGCAAATCAACTTACTGGATAAGCATCGGAGTCGTCATTGCTCATTTGCAGGAAGCGTTCAGGTCTTGCTGAAGAATGTTCAGGTCCCTGGTAATAATATTAGGCACAAGAGCAGTTTAGAAATGCTGGTCTCTGAATCCGATTACTGATGGCAATAGCAAAGAAAAGGCATTAAGGGTTTTGAAGAAGCAATTTATCCTGGTGCAATAAGAAGTCTCACTTCTAAAATATGAGCTAGTTACTGAAAACAGTGGCCAAGTATATAGCCTGTAAGAAAAAGAAACCCTATTCAAATAGTAGCAGACTGCCAAGTCGTAGATGTGCACATTTCGATGTGGAAAACGGTTTTCCCAATAAGCTGATATGTTTGAGACAAGGTAATTCCCTTAACTGTGAATCGGTGTAAATCAAATTCCTAAATTGACATCTAAATTTTCTGTCTTCTTTACCAAAACAAAAGGAATCGTACTTGAGGGGTTCATAGAATGCATGTGGCACTGTGTACAAGTTTGGAGTAATTTAAATGAATTGTGACAGAAGGTAGATGTTAACTACGAGTACTATAAGTACAACGTGTACCAGCATTGACGCTAGCAAAGCATCCTGAGAGCTGTAGGAGTACAGCAGCTTGGGGATTTGCCTTTGACCACTTCAAAATTATTTGGATTAAAATTTTGAACATACGTATTCTTAAGGCTTGAGAGAATTCCATTCAAATGATTTAGTATTCCTAACTTAGTAGCAGACAGTGTGTGTAGGCCATTTCTTTATTATACAGGCATACCTCTAGAACACTCATGGTTAAACAACATTTTTTACAACCTGTGCATGCGGAGACAAACAAAAGTGACTGTGTGTGGACTAGTAAAGGCATAAATAATAGAAGAGGTGTTGGCAACCTATTAACTGAAAATGTGCATTGAGAAAAACAGCATTTAAGGCATTTAAGTACAGCAGATTGGAGAATACGAAAAGTATAATTATCAATGTAAGTGTTATAATGCAAACAAACAGAGGTAAATTACGAACTGCAGAGAAGGTCTCTGTTGGGACCCATAATTTACAACATCCTTGATCACCACTCATATATCATATGACCTACTGAAAGCACAAACAGATTTTTGCCTGGATGAACACGGCTTTAATTGAATGAAGTATTCATGAGTCTCCTCTCCAGGGGCTATGTGGGACTTATTTAACCTTCTAATTATTTTTTCTCTCTCAAAGGAGCAGATCCACTACTCCGTTGGATGAGCTCCTAATATGGACTTACCATTCCTTCCATTCCATGTGGGAGCAGTAATACGATCCCATTGTGTCGGACCCATTTAGCCTGTCCTGAGCTCATAAACTGGTCGATAATACATTGGGCCGTATTATGGAAATCCCCAAACTGAGCTTCCCACAATACCAACGCATTGGGACTCGCCATGGCAAAACCAAGTTCAAATCCTTTAAAAAGAAAAAATGTTTTAATTGTTTGTTTAATTTTAACATCTGGCAAAGTACATTTATATTTCAGAAGTGATTGAGCCGGGTAATCTAGACCCTGAAACATCCTAGTAAATTATAAGACGCTTGCTCCTAGTTATTTATTTCACAATTTATAATAAATTCAGTTACGATCTGTCCACAGTTATTCAGAGAATGAACTTTTATTTCCTTTTGTAAACAGAAAGCATTATATAAATTGTTGGTTCAGTTTATTAAAAAAAAAATTGCATAGAAAATTCCCTTCTTCTGAAAGTCCAGCTCCTAGATAATTACCATCTAATAAAGCAGCGATATCTTGCTGTGTAAGAAGATATTTAGCAATGGTCTTTTAATTAGTGCCTGCTTGTACAATGTACATTGCATACGATCTAGGCTGACAGACAGGGTCTCAGATTATTGTTATTCCGCTCACACTGTTGGATGCCCAGAGAAGTCACCAGTAAGCTATCAATGGCATGTGTCATGTACCTGTCATTTCTACTATTACCAGGCAATATTCCCTTAGGGGAAAAATCCCATAAAGAGTTTATCGGACTGCTGAATTGCACATGGTTTATTAAGCAATGGGGAGAGAAAATATATGGAAATGCCCAGGAATGATGTTAAGATATGGTTTCTAAAATTCACCATAAATTATTTTAAAAATTCAATGAAAACACAAAAATGTTTATAGCCGTAAGATCCACGGGCTGTTTAGTAAGAGACCTTGCAGGATGTTTAATCCTTTATGAGAAAAACATAATTTGAGTATTTTTTGTTTTGTTTTTTTAAACATTTAAAATGTTATCCCTATTGAAGTGTTCCCCAGTTTCAGATCTTATCCTAGGGATACAACTCCTTACCTAAGAGGTTAATCGTTCAGACGTAAGCATTGCAAACCATTACATTTTCATAAAACAAGCAAAAAAAATTACTTTCACCAACCAACAGGTCTGGTAATAGGACGAGGAAAAGGAAAAATAGATGGAAGCAGTATGCTCATAACTCATATTGATCTCATAGCTTGACAGCACTAGATATTTACAGAGGGATAGAGCTATAGATTATCAGTTAAACGTATCTGTTTCAGCATTCAATGTTTGATAAAACCTATAAAAACTAAGTTAAGCTTTTGAACAAGAAAGGACATTAAGCAGGACTTTGATAAAAACATTCCTTCCAATATGATGTTTGCATCTAGTTTTGCTATTTTAGGAGAATGCACTCACTGCAAATATAAAGGAGGTAAGGTATACTGGACCCTAGAATTGCTGGGTAACAAAGCCTCTAAAAATAATGATTTTAAATACAGTTATCATCATCTCTTCCCTTAGAGCAGCACTGTTACCATATGGGGACTTTGCAGACGTTGCAAAGACCCCCGATGGGGACATCTCCCCTGGGGCTCTCATGGCTGGTGTAAGGTGGGGTATTCCATTTTCATTTCTTTTCACATGGGATCATATGACGTTCTGTCACTTGTCCATTAAAGATTAAAAAGAAAGGTGAATGTAGTCTATAAAGTGGTGAAGGACAGGATTATGTTAATAGCACATATAATCACCTAAAGTTATGATTCTATAAACATAGAAGTAGTAGTACAATGGTTAACCATAACTCTCCAATGGTAAAAAACAAATATAAAGGGAAAAAACAGGAACATGCTTTAAACACATTATATAGCATTATTTATGAATGTTTTAGCATGCATGCGTTGGACAGTGCCCACATTAAAGATGGAGACAGGAAGCCAGCATCATTAGAAGTACCATCTATTGCCACCGGTAGTTTGCCATGATCAGTACACTCCTGAGCCTGTTGGGGTCAATTTCTAATTTTCCTCTATAGTTAATCTTGATGGTTATTTTATGGTCACTATGTCATCTCACATGTTAAATGAAGTTAAACAAAAATAGGCTTTTTATTTTTATTTTAACTTTTTTTATTTGTATTTTTTTTTTTAAAAAGGTAATTGGCTCTAAGCCCTGTATAGATGCTACTTCCACATATATACAGGTCACGATACCTGGCCTTTTCACCGATACACAGGTGCAGGTCTAAAAGGAGCAAGAAAGTTAATTAATGGTGTAATTGAGATAAATTGGAGATCAGAGTCTTTTTTTATGAAACATGTGAGATTGATTGTCCGAGTAATTGTTGTGATTATATTTAATGATTTTAAGTAATAAGCAGAGCAAGCAATGAGGCCTATATACTTTGAAGAGAAGAGAATGCTTAAAGACTTGACACACACACACACTCGCTCACTCTCTCTCTCTCTCGTTTGTAGTTCTATGCCAAGCACAGAAGTTTATGCAGCAATTAAAGTAACTTGTATTAATATGGGTGTTTGATATTGGGATCCCACAATGTATGTATAAAAATAATCACCACATTTACAAATGTAGCTTTTGGCCAGGTCATATGGTAAATATAATGATAAATCGTTGCCTATCACAAACCTCAGCTCACCATAAATTAGATGGTAATGTGATATTTTATGTTATAAGGGCCTATTGCGCCCTGTTATGTACGTTCACCCTCCGTTTTTTCTTTTAATTAAAAAAACATTAGAAATAAAGCAATACATTTTCTGGAATGCAGCACCAGCAAAGCTCCGCTCGCTGGATTCAACGCTCCATCTGAAGTCCTTGAAGCCCACTCGTGATCCAATCAACCACGTGGACCATTTCACTTGTGCCGCCTTATGGCGACCACCATAAGGCGGCACAAGTGGTCACCGTAGGTCGCACCGGTGGCCCGGAGAGCACTAGATTAGAGTGACCGGCAGGAGGTGGGCGCACAGTGCTTCCTCCTGCCAGTCACGCTGTATAGGGTTGCTGAACAGAGCAGTGCGCACCGCGGTACGGGAGCTTCTGTTTCCTGTACCTGGCTGGACTGAAAGGAAGTGCTCACTGAGAGGAAAGATGAAAGAACACTGTGGGATTGGGAGAAAAACCAGGACAAGGGGGGAGGAAAGGTGGGAGAGGGGGAGGAAAAGAAACACTATGGACAGGAGGAGGGAAAAGAACACTAAAAGGGAGAGACCACTAAGGGGTTGGACCTATGGTACAGGGGAAGGAATGGAAAAGGAATACTGGGGTAGGGGAGCCACTAAAAGAGAAGGGTGGGAGGAACATTAAGGGGAATGGGGGGCACTAAGAGAAAGGGAGGGCGGGGGGAGAGAAACACTAAAGGGACAGGGAAGGGAGGGGCGAGGAACACTAATGGACAGGTAAGAAAGGGGAGAGGAACACTAATGGACCTGAAGGGGAGGGGAGAGGGACACTAATGGACAGGTAAGAGGAGGGACAGGAAGGGAGGGAGAGGAACACTAATGGACAGGAAGAAAGGGGAGAGGAACACTAATGGACCTGGAAGGGGAGGGGAGAAGAACACTAATGGACAGGAAGGGGAGGGGAGAAGGAACACTAATGGACAGGAAGGGGAGGGGAGAGGAACACTAATGGACAGGAAGGGGAGGGGAGAGGACCACTAATGGACAGGAAGGGGAGGGGAGAGGACCACTAATGGACTTGGAGGGGAGGAGAGAGGAACACTAAGGGACATGGAGGGGAGAGTGGCACAGAAAGGGGCCTGAGTGGGGAGAAAGACACACCGAGGGACATGAGGAGGGAGAAAGACACAAAGATGGGCCTGGGAGTGAGAATGTTCACACAGGGGCTGTGAATGAAAGTGGCACAGAGAAGGGCCTGGAGGTGGAAATACAAAGAGGGACTGGAGAAGAGGAAAAAGAGACACAGAAGGGCTTGAGGGCAATAAACGGGCTGGTGGTGAAAGAGAAACACACAAAGGAGCTGGTAAGAGTAAAAGATAAAGAGGCTGGGAGAGAAGGAGACACACAAAGGGGCTGGGGGGAGAAAGACACACAAAGGTGGGTTGTAAGAGATACACAAGGGAGGCGAAAAATAGGGGATGATATACTAAAGGGGGTAAGACATTTAAAAAAAAAAAAGGGGATAAGAAACAAAAGGCGGGTTAAGAGGCACACAGGAAAATGCTTTTGGGGGGTTGCCAAAATCATCTTCACCTGTGTACCCAAAAATCCTTGTACCGCCCTTGTTAGAGTAAACCTTTAATGTGAATTTAAAAACAATACATTGCTGCTCTTGCCTTCTACAATATAAAACTAGGTGCATTTTAGATCCTATTTCTGCAAAGTGTCCACATATGCAAGCTTATGTTATATTTAGGGGATACGTTTACTGAGATATTTAACTGCTGGTGAGCAAAGGAGTAAATCTGATTGCATTTGTATCCTAATGTTTACACTATATCTGAGAACTACATGAGCCGCACAATATTTCTGTCATTTTCCTCTTTCTATGTCTGTTCAGATTCCAAAATTAAACAGTTATTTGTTATCTGTTTGAAGCAGTAAATATATATATATCTACCTAGCCATAATTTTACACAGAGTACACAGAGTCATCTCTCCCTTGGCAACTCTTAATCCAAGTCTAATTTTAACTTCCACATTACGATCCCATTTCTGCTGATTGGGAGACATGGCTGAGAAAATCTGCAATATGGCTAATTTGTTTAAGGCTTCGCTTCACATATCCTGCTCCTTATTTATATACCGAACATGATACAGGTTAACTTTTCTGGTATGCAATAGATTTTCGATATACCTTTCATCCTCTTCTATTTTCTAGCTGTAGAACACACATAATACATCAAATGTAACCATTTTATAATGCACACTAGAGAGTTTGGATGACACTTTCTTTGCAAATTACATGGCATAAGTATCCTGATACAAATATCATTTACAATTTCAGGTCAACAGTATGAAAAGCCATATTTATCACATGAATTCAACAAATCAATTTTGCAAGAACATTTGAATGGCTCATAAGGCACTTTATATTAGACTTTTAATTTGTTTCAAAATGAAATGCAATGTGGATTTTTTTTATGTTTTATTTTCTATTTTTTTGTGTCCCTTTCTGGCCTGAAGTATTTCTCTAGTTTAGTACTGGTTTTTTCCTGGTCCCTGCTTTGCGTTAAGCCCAGCCACTCTAAGGTTCAGTAATATGTCTATTCTGCCTTTCATTCTTTGCCTTATCAGAATTGGTGTGTCTCAGTTTGTTGAGTGTCCTATGAACAATCCTGAGAAATACACAGTCATATACTTTACCTAATTTATTGTAATAAGAAAGTCGAACTTGCCATCATCAATATCACATTCTAATTCCAAGCAAGAATTGAGAGAGGGTAGGGGAAGAGGTCCTGTTCCCCAATGCAGGGCCGGACTGGCCCACCGGGATACCGGGAAATTTTCTGGTGGGCTGCAGCACCTGGGGCCAGGCAGACAGCCCAAATCATCAGGCTCCTGTAGTTTAAGTATTTTTCCCCTCGGACTGTGCCAGCCTATGTCAGTCCGAGGGGAGTAAATAGGGAGGAGCTGGGGGCTGGTGCAGCCACAGTTAGGCTCCCTGCACAGTTTATATAAATTGGCTGCATGCCCAGCCCCCTCATGCAAGCTCCACCTCCTGTGTGTGTGTATGTGTGCCTGCTAGTGAGAGAGCTTGTGTGTGTGTGTCTGCTAGTGATTGAGCTTGTGTGTGTGCCTGCTAGTGAGTGAGCTTGCGTGTGTGTGTGTCTCTGCTAGTGGGTGAGCTTGTATGTGTGTGTCAGTGAGTTTGTCTGTAGTGAGCATGTGTGTGTGGCTGCTAGCGGGTGAGCTTGAATGTGTGTGTCAGTGAGTTTGTCTGTAGTGAGCATGTGTGTGTGTCAGGGAGCTTGTCTGTTGGAAGCATGTGTGTGTCAGTGAGCTTTTCTGTAAGGATTATGTGTGTGCCAGTGTGCTTGTCTGTGGTGAGCATGTGTGTGCCAGTGAGCTTTTCTGTGAGGAGCATGTGTGTGTCACTGAGCTTTTCTGTGGTGAGCATGTGTGTGTCAGTGAGCTTTTCTGTGGTGGGCATGTGTGTGTTGCTTGTGTGTGTCAGTGAGCTTGTCTGTAATGAACATGTGAGTGTCAGTAAGCTTTTCTGTAGGGAACATGTGTGTCAATGAGCTTTTCTGTAGTAAGCATTTGTGTGACAGTAGGCTTGTCTCTAGTGAGCTTGTGTGTGTCACTAGTTTGTCTGTAGGAAGCATGTGTCTATCAGTGAGCTTTTCTGTAGTGAGTGTGTGTGTGTGTGTTTTCTGTAGTAAGCATTTGTGTGAGAAAGTGAGCTTGTCTGTAGTAAGCTTGTGCGTGTCAGAGTTTGTCTGTACACCAATAAGCTTGTCTGTGTGTGTCAGTGAGATTGTCTGTCAGTAAGACCATGTGTGTGCATCTGTGAGCTTGTGTTTTTATGTTAATGAGTTTATGTATATCAGTGAGATTTTTTGTTTATGAGGCTGTGTATCAATGAGCTTGTGTGTGTCAGATTGTCTGTGTCTACATATTTATTTATTTTTTAATATAAAATATTGGTCCTTTCAGAGTAAAACATTTAATTATACAGTAAGCATTACTGTATAATTAAATGTTTTACTCTGAAAGGACCAATATTTTATATTAAAAAATATTTATGTTGTATATATGATTTTATTATATATATATATATATATATATATATATATATATCACTCAATCATCTGGGGTTGCAAGACATAGCCTTACATTTAACATGTGACAATGCATGGCGCAATGACTTATGGGACTGGAATAGATTTTTTTTTTCCCAGGACTGCTTTGTATTCCCAGTCTGGCCCTGCAATGCACCATGGCTATGGAAAGTTGAAACACCTTTTTCCTTGGTCATGTGACTGCTGCCTCCACCACCATCCCTATTCGTAGCATTTAGCCTCAAGATAGTGGGATTGGCAGCATGTCTGCTACATCAAATTCTAAATTCCCAGAGTCAAATGTGTTTTCCATTCTGTAAACATTTGTAAGATATTCTGTAAACACCAAAGTAGTGTCCTCATTGTCTGGTGTTGGTGATGGTGACAGGGATGAATCCAGTGATGAGAGTTCTGTTTCTCCCCACCACTGCAATCAAAGCATATTTACCTCTAGCTCAGGAGCTACTCAACTATGAGTGTCATAAGCTAGAGGAATTAGAAGCGGAGAGTCTGGAAAGAACAGTCAGTAGCCCAGTATTTTCTCCAGCATCTAGTCTGCACTTGCCTCCTGCATCTTGTTTACCATCTCCAAGTCCATAAGTATCTGTTGTAAAATGGTCTCATCCAGTGAAGGCAGTTGATACATCAGTTGCACCTGCTTCCACTGGTACAAGTAACTCACCCACTGTCAATGTAACCACTACCAGCAGCACCACTACCATCATCGTCAACATCACAAGTACCAGCAACATCAACATTCCATTAATCAACAAATGCTAGTGTAGAGGCTAGTGTAGCAAGAGATGTTGCAACAGCTGTAAATCTTTCAGCATCTTCAGCAGATGCAAGGCAAATGGCCAAGGGTGCTGTATTGGGCCAATGAAGCAATGTTTGGGATCACTCTCAGTACCTCCAATAATAAATTGCAAACTGTATGGCAAAGAAGTGGGTAGGGGGCGAGTGAAGGGTCATCTCACTAGTGCTGGTATGAAGAGTAAAAGCAGAACTAAGCAGTGGATAGTCTAGGAACAAAACATGAGACAATGGCACTATGACACCAAAAATACCAAAGTCAAAACTGGGGGTGTTCTAATCATTTCCACCACATGTTAGCAGTAGTTGCATGGTGGAGGGTGAGATATAGGGGCTGAACGGGAGGTTTAGAAGAGCTTTAGTGGGTGCTGGGGAGGGATAGTGGCAGTTGAGGGTGCAGGAGATAATAGGAACTGTAGAGAGTGCAGGGGTGGTAGGCTGTAGTGGGTGCAGAGGCATATGTGCTTTAGTCAGGGGAAGAAGTAATAGGGGCTTTGATGGGTAAAGGTGGATTGGGCAGTAGTGGGAGGAATAGGGTACATTATATACATATACAGTTTAATTGCAAAAAGTAACAATTAATTCCACCCTCCTTGAGCCTTACCTTTGGCCAGGGAAGAGAGAGTCATTATCTCTGGTGGGATAATATACTTGTCTGCACCCCTCCTTTTGGACGGGGAAGCTATCAATGCATTGCTGTAGTAGCACGTGGCAATACGGATCTTTTGCTCACTTTGATCTCTGCAAACAGACCACATGTCAGTCTGGGGCCACTAATTCTGGCCCTAGATGATCAAAAGGACACCCAGGTATCAAAATATACCTGGGATTCCTTGATACTCTTACTATATGACGTCTATGCTTCACTGGCCATGAAAGCGTCATGTGGCCCTTAATTGGTAAACATATTGGTGAATTCTTTATCTGTTTTTAATTATACCCTCGTACAGAGGTAGTTAATCTCTTTAGCGCTCCAGAATTTATGAGCTATATGTAACGCAATTCTTTGCAAGTATTAAATCTGTAATAGCATCTGGAATTCCGAAGGTTGCCGATGCCCTAGTGTTGGCATGAGTGACTCAATTCTATTTGAGTCACTGATATTTTCAGGATGGAATTTACATAGCACACGTGAAGGTTCCACAATAAGAAACTTTGGAATTAGACCCTACATAAACACAGGTTGCTCTTTTTCCTTTTGGGATATGACATTATACACAATCTAACCTTTTAATGATCAAAGATGGCCTTTGCCATTATCACAGTATGGTTCCACTAAACTCTACACAAAAAATTTAATGCTCCACTTATTTAGTTTTGGGCAACACTATACAGCTTTGCAGTAATTAACAAGTCCTTCCATTCTGGTATAGTTTACTAAAAGAACCAACAATTATGGTTGCAAAGACAGTCAATGGCCCCCAATGAGTTAGTATTGGTGGTCAGATTATTTTTTCCGGTGTTAAAACATAGGTTAAACTTGACTTAAATATGACTTGTGACATAATAAACAAAATTACAGTTGTCTATAACTTACCTAATACGCCATATTCAGATAGGGAACTGTTACACACAGTGTACGGAGCTTGATTTGGCCAAAGATGGTTCATTGGTACACAAGTATGGCGGTCTACATCCTGATCATGCAAGACATGGTGCCGATGACTGAAAGAGAGATAGTTAAGAAAATGTGGATGAGCCAGCATCAATTCACAGGTAAACATAAAATGTATAAAGGATCACCAAGGTCTGAAAAAGGAAAAAGTGTTTCACCAAGAAAGATTCAAATATGAAGATTCCATACAGAAACGTCAAAATAACACTACTACCGGAGAACCCTTATTTACCAGGATTTTTAATATATTTATTGATCCCTATATTTAACAAATATGTCTAATAAATAAATGTAAATATTAAATACTTACATCTGATGGGGAACTGGGCACATCAATCTTTGCTCCATGTCAATCATTGTTGTATTTTTTATCGTTTCCACCTGGCTGTGAGCATAGAGAGGGGACGAGAATCGAAAGCAATGTTTCGATTTCTCCTTCTCAATGGAATGTGTGCCCTGGCTGTGTCAGGATTCAACTAGATTGCAAAGTCTATTGCTAAATCATTAATATACATTTAAAATAAGATGGTAAAACACCATTTATTGCAAATTAGACTGCCATTTTCTATTAAAATTCCATTTTGTTTTTAATAAGATTGCAAGTTATTTATTACAGAAGTTAGTAAAGGATAAATGATAAACATGTGAAGGTAGAAGTAGACAGAAAGCATTTGATAAATGAAATGAGCTTCCAGTGGACGTAATTATAGACAACTTTGAAGATGAATCCTAGAACATTTTGGTTTTCCTAAAGTATAATGAAGAAAAAAAGAATATATATATATATATATATATATATATATATATGTAGCGGAACGGAGAACCCAAATATACTTTTATTCACCTTTGTTCAGCTGTCCATATACCCCTGATCGTTTACCGAACCCCCTCTCTGTGTGGCACCTTGTTCGCACCTTTTAATCAGCGACTGACCCTGGCTGTTAACCACATATTAGTTATTAGTTCAAGTGTTTTCCCTGTGTGGCCGCCGTTCGTATAACCGAATGCACGTGCAAATAATGGGCAGCCCTTTTGTCTCCCGAACACGGGCAGCACAACATGCTCGTCAATAGCGTGGAACTGTTTTCGAATACACAAACCCGTGAACAACCGGTAAACTAGTACCAACTTTCCGAACAGTTAGGAGAACAGCGTTCAGGAATCCAACTACCGAACAGGGGAGCATTCGTACCCCAACAGCCTGGGAATGGATTAATCAGTGTTCGTGCGAGAACCCCAGAAAGATGACCAGTCGTTGCCTTGTTTACTAGGGAACAGTTTTGGAGCATCCCCTCATTGCCGACAGATCAAAATTTCATTTGAATGGCATTCCCGAACTAACGAAGGGATCGGAGTGCTATTTCGGCAAAGTGTGCGCTCAGATTCAAGCTATTCGGTTATATGACTTTCGTGGGATTTTGAAGTTATCAAAATGTATTTTTGGGGTGTTTTAAAATATTGTATATTTTTCTGTACCTGAAAGATTATTAAGTTATAGCTTTTTTCTCATGCAATTATCTCTCAGGCACAGAGGATCCTGGAAAGAAAAGCCCTGTTTAAGATATTATATGGCGGGCTTTATTTCTGACATCATAGCCTATCTAAATAATTTATTTTTTGAAGTTTATGTGCTCATATTTTCTGCAAGCTTTAAATTACTGACAATATTTTTGTTATTGTGTATATGTCGAGATGACCAATAAAAAAGGGTAGTGGATCTGGAGTATTTTAAAGATTTTTGCATTCTTTTAGCATGATTCCATCCTATTCTATGCTATATAGTAATATTTAAACAGTATACTGGTACTTTAGGGAAAAACACAACTCATGAAACATTACCACCATCTATGATCTTCATAAATCCCTTTATACTTATTGCCAGCTAACAGTTAATTAGGCAGACTTTTTAATTAAATTAATCATCAAAATATTGTATAATTGTATTTATATTTAAACAGAGCCCTAGGTAGTTTAGTATAATATTCTGCTTAGTAGTAAATTCCAATTTTATTAAAATTCCAATGCCCTCAATTTACACTTTGCATATCTAGCTGGATGAAAATTACACCTGGACTTAATTTAAACATCTTTAGCCAGCACCTGCTGCTTTCATGGGTATAAACCTTTCGCTAATTTTTGATCCACTAGAGCAGCTCTTTGGGCAAATGCAGAGACTTGTAACACAATGGATTTGATATCTATGTCTATGTTCTACTGACCAGCTGTCAGAAGAGGAACTACCGTGTTTCCCCGAAAATAAACCCTACCCCGAAAATAAGCCCTAGTCGGATTTTCGGGGTGGGCTGCAATATAAGCCCTACCCCGAAAATAAGACCTAGGCATTGTACCTTTGCGGCGAGACTTCCTTCTTCTGCTGTAGGAGGAGCGTCGCGCAACGTGATGACGACATTTTGCAGCGCCATCAGTCTGCCTTCACGGATCTTCAGCGGAAGGATCCATTTCCGGGCGGTGAGGCTCCCAGTGGTCGGACTCGGCAAGGAATCTTTGAAATGTGAGTACCGCTAGATATTTTATGTCTGGGATTATTGAATTAATTAAAGGGGGTGGGGGGGTGAATTAATTAAAGGGGTGGGCTGGATTAATTAGAGGGGGTGAATTAATTAAAGGGGGGTGAATTAATTAAAGGGTGGGCTGGATTAATTAGAGGGGGTGAATTAATTAAAGGGGTGGTGAATTAATTAAAGGGTGGGCTGGATTAATTAGAGGGGGTGAATTAATTAAAGGGGTGGTGAATTAATTAAAGGGTGGGCTGGATTAATTAGAGGGGGTGAATTAATTAAAGGGGGGTGAATTAATTAAAGGGTGGGCTGGATTAATTAGAGGGGGTGAATTAATTAAAGGGTGGGCTGGATTAATTAAAGGGGGGTGAATTAATTAGAGGGGGGTGGATTTATTAAAGGGTACCGTACCGGTACCGGTACCGTAAATAAATAAGCCCTACCCTGAAAATAAGCCCTAGTGAGTTTTTTGTGACTAAAATTAATATAAGACCCGGTCTTATTTTCGGAGAAACACGGTAAGAGATATTCAATCAGTCTGATACTGTAAACGTTCAAGTTATGACCATGAGCTAGATTTTATAATCTTACAGATAGTGCTTTCCTTCCTAATAGGATTTAAAGGGTTTGTACAAACTATCAGATTTAACTGAATTAGCAGTGGATTAATCATATATTTTAGATTTTGAAGGATTAAAAGAAACACTAAAGCTCCCGGGATATTCTCCCTAGTAAATAATTCAATGCTTGGGGTCATACTGTGCATTCGCAGGTGTGTTATGCTAATAGAATGCTTTTCAAAGAGTTGGTGGTCACATGATATCTATGTGTCAGGGTGCATTTGTGTGATTATGCATGTATGAGTGGGTGGGATGGCCCAGCCACTGGGTGTATTGGTAATTTATGATCAGGACAGAAGGAGCTGAAGTACATTGGGATACCACAAACGCATGGCAACCATGAGGAAGAGGCAAAGAGGATAGCACCATCCAAGTACCTCCAAAGGGTCAGACAGGTTCTGAAGTCCCAGCTCAGTGGCAAGAACTAGATCCAAGCCATCGACACATATGCCCTACCGGTCATCAGGCACCCAGCTGGAATAATAACCTAGCCAAGAGAAGAACTGGTCACCATGGATGTCAAGACCAGGAATCTATTCTCTATGAATGGAGGATTCCATCCCAAATCCAGCACCCAAAGCCTGTGCATTTGCCAGAAGGAAGGAGGTCGGGCCTGATGAGTGTCAAGGCCACAGTACTGGATGAAACACAGAGCATCCACAAGTTAATCACGAAGATGAACTGCTAAGGGAATGCCTGAGACTTCCACAGATCAAGGATGCAGAAAAAGAGGAGGTTCCTTGGCAAGACAAACCTCTCCATGGGGTGTACCAACGGCAGGTAGTGGATGTGGCTTACATATCAAAAGCCTACCAGTGGTTGGAAAAGGCAGGACTGAAAGACAGCACTGAGGCACTAATCCTAGCATCACAGGAACAGCCACTCAGCACCAGATCAATAGAAGCTGGAGTCTACCACACCAGGCAAGCCCCAAAGTGAAGACTGTGCAAAGAGGCCTCTGAGACAGTTCAACACCTAGTAGCCGGATGCAAGATGTTAGCATGAACAGCATACATGGAGAGACACAACCAAGTTTCTGGGATTGTGTCCCGAAACATCTGCACAGAATATGGATTGGACCTGCCTAAGTCCAGATGGGAGATACCACAAAGGGTAGTTGTGAATGACAGGGCTTAGATCCTGTGGGACTTCAAGATCCAGACAGACAAGCAAGTGCTGGCCAACCAACCAGACATCGTGGTGGTAGACAAGGAACAAAAGACTGCAGTTGTGGTGGATGTGGCAATACACAGAGACTATAAAATCAGGAAGAATGACTATGAGAAGATGGACAAATACCAAAGACTGAAAAAAGAACTAGAAAGGATGTGGAAAGTGAAGGCAGTAGTAGTCCCAGCTGTGATAGGAGTACTCGGGACTGTGACTCCCAAGTTGGGGGAGTGGCTTCAACAGATTCCAGGTGGGACATCTGAGATCGCTGTCCAGAAGAGTGCAGTTCTAAGAACAGCTAAGATACTGGGCAGAACTTTCAAATTCCCACGCCTCTGGTAGAGGACCCGAGAATGAGGAATAAACATACCACCGAGGAGGGGTGAGAACATCAATTTATTATTTATTTATTTAGCCATTTAGTTAAAACCTTCAGTAACATATGATGTTACAATATTCTGGGCATATTGCCCAGATTTCCAGAATCTTCCAAACAAAGTACAGGTGTCTTTTCACATGACTGTAAGCCGATGTGCTGTGCAGGAATTTTCCTGATTTATTTACTCTTGGAAGAGTCTGACTGGAGTTTCCCAGCCTAAGATGTGCTTCAATGTTGATTTTTGGCATTACTCTGTGATCTATGACTTAATTCTTTATTATTCATCCACTCAATTGGTGTCATATCCTGAATTGTTGAACCTTATACATATATAGCAATACAATGGATTTGTAAGGGGCCCCAAGTATTTGGATGGAAGCCCTGGCTGTTAGCATAAGAATCTTAGCTAACTTGCATTCTGCCATGACACAGCTGTCAAATTGGATTCAATCACAAGTGGTGAGTTAAAACAATAGATTCATTAAGATTTAAATTTGCTGACCCTTTGATGATCCAG